AAAAAAAAAAAAAAAAGGGAGATGTATTATTATTTTAAACATCTCTTTAATAATTTTTGGATCTGTCATCCATAATTATGTGGAAATCTAAAAATGGGCATTTTCAAAATATTTTATTTGTGCATATTTCCTTTGTATAAACTCATTCAGCAGATACTTAGCACTTTCTTATACTGTTATGCCAGAATAGGATAATCTTAGAGTTGATAATACATTTCAATGTAATGCAGCCTTTGATATGTGGAGAGGGTCAGGGAGCTCATTCCGTTTTTGATGATTATACCAGAAAGTTAAAGAAAATGAACTTTTTGTGTGTGTGTGGAAGGGAATTTTAATATATTCACCAAATTAAATGAAAGGACAATAGCATACTGTAGACACAACTTCTAAGACAATTTAAAATTATAAACAAAATGTGAGGTAGACTGACTAGTGAAATTCACCAAATTTTGGTTAAGAAAATTTTACAGTAATAAAGTAACACAGGTGCCCCCTTTTCTAAAAATCACAAAAAGCGAATACAACAATTCTCATTCTAATTTTTAGTTTACATTCAGCATTAACCTGTGTGAATTGTCATATATGCCAAGATTTTACAGGTATATAATTATGCTGGCCTATTTAATACATTCATACCACATCAATGTTCTAAGGGATGGCAAGGCTTAAAGCTGAACCCACCAAGATATATATTAACAAATCACGGTATCCTGTACTTGTGCAACTTTATCCTTAAAGGAGAATGACGTAACATTTTCTAAAGACTTACTTACACAGATAAGGTGATTTTAAAAGATCCAAGAAAGGCTTAGTAAGACAGAATGTGAGAACAACAGGCAGGTCAATTTGAGTTTCTCCATCAATAGGGTGATAGTCTGATTTTGGCTTTATTCTGGCATTTCTCTTCCACAATTAAATAGTATTTAAGAGATCATATCATATCTGGATATTCAGAGTGCAACCCTAACTAATGTGGTGTACCTGCATTTAAAGTAACTACTTTAAAAATATTCTTTAGCCTATGAAATCATAAAGCCAGAAGAAACCCTGAGAGGCCATCTGCCCCAGATAAAAGGATTTTAGAATTATTTCAAGTGTTTGCTTATATAGTAAAAGGTATTGGAATATTGCACAAACAGTGGGTTACTTGATAAGGTCCGCATTAGGCCCTTCCAACAAAACAGGAACTGAAATACATTCATATCTAAACCAACCTGATTCAAAACGTACCTCTTTGCCAAAAATTTCACTATACTTAAGGAATATTTTTAAAGCATATATAAGGCAGGTCCTCTTTGAAGGACAATTAAGATTGGGGTTAAAAGGAATTGTTTATTTCAAAATACATGTAAAGCATCATGATTAGCTATATTAAAACCAAGAGGTCTGCAAGCCATTTTCAATCTGATATATTCCATCTTTTCACTAGCTGTAAACTCCTTGTTATCACAAGATAATAAAGCCAGTTAATTAACACTATTTGTTCTAAGTAAACGTAGGCTTAGTAGGCCCTTCTCAGTTTCAGATCATGAACAAGACATAAATTCAAGTAAAAATGGTCATGTTTTCTGATAAGAAAAACCCCAAAGGATTGTTTAATGATGATAACTGGAGTAATTTAAGAGTAAACATCCAGTAGACTTAGTTTGTTCTAGAAATTTTAAAAAATCTAATGTTGATTAAACATACAGTGAGAAATCTGTAGAAATGTCCATTTCCCACTGTTGATGTTGGGCAGATCACCAGCTGCTGACTCCAGCTCATGTCAGCCCCGTGTGTGTGTCAGAGTGGAACTGTGCTCCATGGGGTTTTAGGGGCTGCTTTTTCAGAGGGATCACTGGGCCTTTCTGTCTGAGGCTGCTCTGGGTAGATTCAGATGTTCACCCTTTCATGTTTAGCAGCTAAGCACGTTCACTGTTTGCACCACCTGGGGATGCCACTGGACATCCAAGATCCAGCTGCCAGTGAGTTGGTTCTGATTTATGGTAACCCCAGGTGTATCACAGTGGAACTGTGCTCCATGGGGGGTTTCAGTGGCTGCTTTTTTGGAAGTAGATCAGCAAACCTTTCTTCTGAAATGCTTCTAGGGTGAACTTGGACTGCCTTCTTTTCAGTTAGCAGCCAAGTGTGTTAGCTCTGCAGCACTCAGGGACTCCGCTGGACACATACTCCCTCTGTTAACACTGGTGGCTCAGTGGCAGAATTCTTGCCTTCCACACAGGAGAGCCGGGTTGGATTTGTAGTCAGGGCACCTTATGTCCATTTGTCGACGGAGGCTTGTGTGTTGCTTTGATGGTGAACAGGTTTCAGCAGATCTTCCAGACTAAGATGAACTAGGAAGAAAGGCCTGGTGATCTACTTCCAATCATCAGCAACTGAAAACCCCGTGGAGCACAACAGGCCTGTCTGCAGTCAGTCATGGGGATGGTGCAGGATCAGGCAGCGTTGAGTTCCATTGTGCATGGGGTTGCTGTGAGTCAGGGGCTGACCCAGCAGCTAACAGTAATCTTAATGAGTTAGAAAGACATAAGGGACTCTTACTCATCACCAAGGAATCACTAGTAGGTTAAGTAAAAGCCCTCCTTTTTAATGGATAACTATTTCCTGGTTCCCATTTCAGTGACTTCTTTGTTGCTTTTAGTATAAAAATATATTCAGTGTATCTTTTAAAGGAAGCTTTGCTGAGTCCTTGAAAGGAAAGAGTAGTTCACTCCCCGCAAAACCTCAACCTAACACTTATTTGCTAATGCCAAGTACAGCAGTCCCCGAGTTGTGAATGTCTGGTTTATGTATAACCTGCAGTTCATTATGAACGAACCCACATAAAGCCTATTACATTGAAAATTCACAGTACATACAATTTGTACTAACAAATGGATGCTACTTTGTGATGCACATCAAAACATTATTATTATTACTGCATTATTGTGTTAAAGATGTTTTAGTGTATCTGGAAGTGTTTTTTTCTAACATATTTTATGCATAGAAAAGGTACACTAAGACAAACCACTTGACTGACATTAGAATGAGCTGTACCTAAGTGTTCCAACTTAATGGACAAATTTGACTTAAAGACAGATTTAAGATTGGAACTTGTTTGTAATCTGAAGACTGCCTGTACTTAATTCCCACCAAACAGGGTGGGTGTGGGCTAAATGCAGATAGCTCTTAGTTGGCCCAACTTATCAAAATCTGTTCCATATTCTCATAGACATGGTATGCTGAAGATGGAAACATTTTAAGAGAATGGGAAAAGCAAAGATTTTTGTTAGGAGAAGCTGTATATAAATACACATAATGACTGCTCTGTAATTACTGATCTGTTTGTTCAGTTTAAATAGTAAACTTTTTTAACTCCTGTGGAAATTTTGCCCAAAGTTTCAATACATAGAAGATTATAAATCTTAAACTAACACTGCACAGAGAAGACAAAGCTACTTTTTTTTTTAAATACAAATATATTGTACATTCTATCATTTCAGACCCCTGAGTAATACTGTACCAAAGTACAGATCTGAAGAGAAACTGAGGATTCAAGCCTCAAACGTTAATCTTCGATTAATTCCACACCAGCGGTGTGAGTATCCATGTAACACATTCAGGCTAGCTAACACTGAAAGTCAGTATTCCCCCTAATAGTATAGTAGAAAAAACAATGCAAATGCCATCTCCATTCTCCAAAGTATACCTCCTCAGAAGCCCACTGGCAGACTATGTCCTAAATAATTGCACAGCTGCCTAGGGTGGAGTTTACCTGAATTCAGGGTCCTATAATTGGAACTGAAGGACAGTGATACCCCGAAGATGTGGGTCAGATTGGGGGTTTCTTTGGAGAACAGACAAATATGTTGCACTTTGCTCCACAGTGATTGTACTTTAAAGAAAAAAAATCCCAAATAATTGTTTCTGCCCCACCCCACCCAGGCATCCCTTTGCTATTTTTGTTCTCTTCAAAAAAAGGCTTATACATGTCGGCCAGTAAGAAAGTAGAGGGGCTTGTCGTCACTGCTGTTCGCTGTTTGAAACTCATCCCGGAGGCGGAACTGCCATTCATCTTCTAACTCCAAGCGGACAATTGTTTGGCGTAAGGAGCTTCTGTCTTGGCAAATGACACACAGGGTAGCACCTTCAGAAAAAAGTCAGAAACATAAGTTGAGAATGAAGTTAAAAAGAACCTCACCACCTCTCTGATTATATCATGTAAACTGACAAATCTGAGAACCAACATATAGGTAAATGATCTATCAAAATTGTTAATTTTCTTATTTAGAGTAAACAGTACTATAACTGTAAATGTTTAAAAAGAAAAACCTCCCAGCCACAGCCCCTTTTCTCATTTGTCCCTCCAGTGCAGGGTTTCTTGACCTTGGCACTAGGAGACGGGGTAACTCTCTGTGGTGGAGGCTGTGCTGTGCCTTGTAGGATGTTCAGCAACATCCCTGGCTTCTACTTGCTAGGTATCAGTAGTACCCCACCCCAGTCTTGTCAACCAGAACTGTCCAGACAACTGCCAAATGTCCTAAGGGGGAAAACTGCCTCCTGGTTGGGAACCACTACTGCTCCAGAGATGCTTCATACATAGAAAAGTAAATGCAGTTTTCTCTCTCCTCATCAAAATGGTAATATGATGTTACACAATACTCTGAACCTCAGTTTTTTTTTTTTTTCACTGACCTTAAAGGTCATCTTGTATTTATGATGCTTAATCTGCCGTTCTTAGGCATATCTAATTGTGCATACCTATTAAAGCAATTCCAACATTTGTACCATAATCAGAACTAAAGGTTTATGTCAGTTGTACAGATGAGTTGTAGGTGATTTCTGACTCAGGCAGTATGTTGATATATTCAGTTACTTTAGAATATAAGTTACATACATGTTAACTAGACTTATTAACCTCATTTTCATTCTAACTAGAATATATGAAGCATTCCTTTTTGCATTATATCATTAAATCTAAAGTTAGTAGTGACAGAAGCCTGTTTAATATGGTACTAAATCTGGCTGTTCATCCACATTTACAGTCTTAGGATAACAGTGTCTTGAGTGTTTTTTTCAGTTAAATAAGTGGCCCTGGTTTAAAAGAAATATGCTCAATTTAATGTCGAAAGTTAGTGTTAAAGTACTCTTTTGTTCACCTCCATATTTTAGCCAGTGGGAACTAAGAGCATTCACAAGCTACATACTAAAGCTGAGTTTACCTTTTAGAAACTTAAATTTCTTAAGAAGATCAGCACCTACGAAAGAGTCACAGAGGTACAAGAGGAGTCCACTGAAAAACACCCCTTCACAGCTGACATTGCTGGAGTGAGGTCTGGAGCTAACATAGCATACAGCCACCTGAAACCATCAAGCAGAAATAGCATTTTCATTTCAAACCAAGCATTAACATCTGTATTTTAGCTGAATGAGCTTGTACCTTCCTTTGTATGTCTCTGTTTCAGGGTAAGGTAAAGGAGGTGATTTTCCTCAATGTTGTATTACACTGGTTGGTTGATTGTTCAAGCATTGCACCTCCTAATTTAGTGTGCCAAGTTATTATAGTGTGTTTATGAGGGATTACTAAGTAACAAAATAAGCCCCTTCATCTAAGAGTATTTAAAAACCTTCCTTAAAAAGGCACACTTGTAGGATAAATGAAGTGCTTAGACCATCTTATTGCCTGATGACAAATCAGCTTTTCATATAGATAAACTTTTAACTGGATAGAAGCTTAAAAATGCACGACTTTAAATTTTAACTCTAAATGGCTTATGTGCATGAGATCACACAAATTACAGAGAAGTGAGTAAGATAGCTGGAAGACCTTGAGAGTTAGAATGCTAGAATGGTTAGATGCATGGGCCAGACTCTGCTCATAAACTTGTTCCTCCATTTAGTGACAGTGAGCAATTTACTTTGTTTCACTACCTCAGTGTCCTCACCTGTGGAGTAGAGATAACAATAGTACTGGTTTCATAGAGCTGTTTTGTGAATTACATAATTTAATGTAAACCACTTATAAGCTTAATTATTAGCTACTATTAGTGGTGGTACTGAGATTATGTGGTCTGATATCAAAAGCCCTGGACTCTGCGATAGGACTACTGAGAGACCTGGGTTAGAAATGTTTGTAACTTACATAGTTATTATAAAAGGTATTATTACATCAGATTTTTCTTTGTGTGTGTGTGTGTGTGTGTGATTCAGGTGAAAGTTTACAGAGCAAATTCATTTTCCATTCAGCAGTTCATACACATTTGGTTTCATGACATTGATTGCAATCCCCATAATGTACATCCTCTCTTCCCACTTCCTCCCTGTGGTTACCTTATCCCTGTGCATTCCTGCACTCTGAACTATCTCTCTGCACAAATACTGCCCTTCAGATCTTCCATGATTGATTATTCTAAGGATATAATTATTCTAAGGATATAATTCTAAGGTATAATTGTTCACCTTGGAGGCCTGTCTGTTGTTTAGCTGGAAGCCATGGGAGTGAGTTCAGTTCCAGGCCTGAAGGGTGACTAGGGGTCATTGTCTTGGTTTCACCAGTCTCTATCAGACTGGTGAGCCTGGTCTTTTTTATGATTTTGAGTTTTATTCCACGTTTTTCTCCCACTCTACAGACAACTGTTTTTTAAGGTTCTTTCTACCTCTAAAATTACAATTTGTGGTCTAGCCTATAGTGTAGATTATTGAAACATCATAAAAACGAGAATATAAAATGCTTACAGCGTTATATTTTAAAAAGTTTCTAGAATTGAATATGGTTGGATTTTATTATTAAAAAAGTGTGTATGTGTTGGTCAATATATAACAAAGAGAAAAGCCTGGAAGGAAATAACAGTACACCAAAATGTTATGTTCATGTTACAAGTGATTTTATTTTAATTTTGGAAATTGTTTATAAGGAAAGTATATTACTTTAATGAAAAGAATTAAAAACAAAACTCATAGTCTTAAGGGAAAGCTTGGTGGCAAAAACCCTTAAGTCTTAACAGCCATCAGCAGTCAGAAGTCTGCAAATACAACTGGCAATTTTTTTAAAAAAGCAAACTGGTGAAGGAGCTCTGGTAGTGTAGTGCCTATGGCATGTGACTGCTAATCAGAAGGCGGTTCAAACCCACCAGCCACTCCTCGGAAAGAAGGCTGGGCAAACTACTTCCGTAGTGATACCACCTTGGAAACCCAAGGAGGGGTCGCTATGAGTCAGATCTGACACAACGGCAGTGTGTGTTTGTTTTTAAAAAAACTGGTGAAGAAAAAGCAGCACAGGAGAAAGAATGAGAAATAGTAGAAAGAAGAGGGAAGTGACAGCTAGCTACAGATCTCAAATGGTGCCCATGTGTTTGTTTAGCATCACTGAGCTCTTACTATGTGCCTGAAACATAAGATGTTGTATGCCCTTGAAGAACTCGGTCTTGTGGAGAAACACTGTCACACATTTACAGTCTAGTAAATGTTTTGACAGACCATTAAGGTAGGCTTCTCAGAGAAGGGGACGTCTAAGCTAAGCTGTAAATGTTCAGTGACTCATTTTTTGAGATGTGAAATAGGTCCGATGAAAGGGACTATTAACCACCACATTTTGCATGAGAAATTACATAGATTAGTATGTCCTAGGCTCCTTTCTGTCTCCACTTTAAGCTTTCAAATAGGAGCTAAAATAGGAAAGAAATGGATTGGAACTAGTTCAATACTAGTCCCTTCTACCCCCTTACCTCAGGTCCAACGTTCAGGTAGCAGTCAATGGCCAACACAGGACTCTTGAAGTTACGGATGGCTTTGGGAAAGAGTTTGTATGAGGCGTGCTGAAGGAACTTCTCCAGGAGAAACTGTGCAGGGGCTGCTAGTAGAGTGTGTTCACTATCTGGAGCACAGACATACTGAAGGGGCAAGATGGGTGCTAAGCTCTCTGACACCTGAAATCAGAGCCGAGATTACCATTGGAAAGCCTAGTGTCTGTCACTATCAAACTGTCAGATGCTAGGTTCAAATACCATTCTTGGGATCTGAATTGATTTTTTTCTTAAGCATAGTAAAACAACATGTAATTTATATTAAATTTAAGTTATACACAGAAGAAAATGAGAAAGTAGGCTTCTGTGAAAGTTACTGCATTTAGCAAATACATGGTGAGGTCTGACAGGAAGCCTTTTACTGTGCTACTGAAAGTATGGGTTAAATTCCATCTTATTACAACTAAGACAAGGGCAAAGAAGTTTCTAAACTCCACTGGCTGGTCTATAAGTTGTAATGATTAGATATTCTTTAAATGGAACATGGAATTTACTTTTAACAGATTTTGATCTGCATTTTTTTTCCTAAATTTTTATTATGATTTGGGTGAAAGTTTATAGTGCAAATTCATTTTCCATATAGCAGTTCATACTCATTTTGTCTCATGTCATTGACTGCAGTTCTCCACAATGTAACAGTTCTTCCCACTTCGTCTTAGTTACCTCTTCCTGTGTCCTTCCCTCTCATGTACTCCTTCCCTCAGTCCCAGACCCCAGCTATCTCCCTGGGCAAACACTGCTCTTCAGTTCCCCCACACCTCATCCTTCCAAGGAGAGTATCTCCTTGATGTAAATGTTTAGCCCATATGCCTGTCTGTTGTTTGGCTGGAAGCCACAGGAGTTCAGTTCCAGACCTGAAGGAAAACAAGGGGCCATAGTCTCAGGGGTTTCACCAGGCTCTAGCAGACCAGCAAACCTGTTTTTTTTTTTTTTTTTTTTTTTATGATCTTGAGTTTTGTTCCACATTATTCTCCCACTCTATCCAGGATCTCCTGCACTGATCTCTCTCCAAGTGGTTGACAGTAGTAGCCAGGCACCACCTAGTTCTGGTCTCACAGTCATATAGGCTGAGGATCTCATGGTGTACCAGTCGTTTGGACTAATTGTTCCATGCATCTTTGCTTTTCTTCACTCTTCTTTGCTCTGGACGAGGAGAGACCATTGTTGCATATAGATGGCCACTTGTAAGCTTTTAAGACCCCTGTCACTATTCACCAAAGGAGGATGTAGAACGATGTTTCTGTGTAGTATGTTACGCCAGTTGAGCTTGATGTCCCCTGTGACCATGGTCCCGAGCCCACAGGTCCAACTACTTGCTCCTTCAGGGTAGCTGGCTGTGGCCAAGAAGCCACTACAACTTTGTCCCTTGTCAGCTCTACTATACACCTGGACATTCTTACAGCAGATACAAATATGCATGAAGAAACATCATCTGCCAAACCCTACTCATGGTCATGGGCACTGATCTCATTATTAATCTGGCAAAGGATTCAGACAAGCATCTTGATTTACACTTCTGTTCTGTACATTTAAAGAATACAAAAATGTAAGGTTTACCATGTTGAAACTAAAGCTTTGATAGAGTTAAGCTTTAATTCTAAAGAAACCAGTGATAGAAATGAGATTACAAATTTAACAGTAAGAATATGACACCTTTGTCTTACTTCACCCCAGTCAAGTCAAAAGCATTTACTGCAACAAAAACACCTAATACTGAAGATATTAATCATTAATCACTGTGTTCATTTTCAAAAGTAGAACCAGCCTTGCAAAACTTACCATGATCTTTGGTTTTATAACGAAGTCCCTTTGTCCTCCAACTTGGACATGTTTCTTCATGAGACTGAAGTTATTAAAACGGCAGATGAGCAGGCCACTACTATTTGTTCTTAAGTTAAAGTCAACATCTTCACAGAAATACCTAAATGATAATCACAACAACAGGTTTCTTTGACATCCTGTCACAGCTCAACCATAATAATAATTATACACAGAGAATGGTGTGGCAGATGTTAGAAGACAGTCCAAAAGGCAAGTGATTAGTCCAGTTAAACATAGCACTAGCTTGTCTTCCACCTTGCCCTCATTGAGCTGGGCTTAATATTGACCTAGGAACCACCAGTTTGGGCATTACATCTATTATTAAAGGAGGAATTCAGGTAATTTTATTACAACAACAAAATACAACACACTGCTGTTGAGTCGGATGTGACTCATAGCGACCCCTCCTTGGGTTTCCAAGGCGGTATCACTATAGAAGTAGATTGCCCACCCTTCCTTCCAAGGATTTTTATTACACATATTCTTAATTCCACAATGTTTTAGGCATTCCAGAACTCAAACAGGACTGCACATGCCAAATTCTCCTGCAGGACACAGGGAAGTGCTCCCAGTTTTAAAATCCATGCTACCAACAGGATAAAGCACCTGCCAGATTTAAAACAAAAGTCAAAGCAGCAGCTACTCTAACAGCCATAGGTTGGGGGTTAGTTTAAGAGGGACTTGACTGTCCCTATCATTCTTCCTTGGCCCTCTTAAATTTTCCAGGAACATGGACATAATTTATTTAGGAGGCAAGGCCAAGACTAGCCTGCTTTATTCCATTTTCTGGCTTTTCCCTATAGGATCCAAATCTCTGCATCTACTTATACTTGGGGAAATGGAATTCTCTGAGTTCTGAGGGTGGAATAAGATGCTTGTGTGGCCATGCATTGATTTTGTGTTTTCAGTAGTTTTTGTACCTGTTTTAATTCTTGAATAATGAAATGGCTAAAGTTCTATTTTCTAAGCATTGTACTTTGTAACTTCTATTCTTAAAGGCCTAGGTCAGTTTGAATGGTGAGTCGGACATTTTGTAGCTTGAGAGCCCCCTTTTTTCCTTGTCCATATAAACAGTTTCTTAGCTTTGCAACAAAGAGACAGAGACCTAAGAATGACAACATTACACAAACTAAAAATGGGCAGAAACAGTGGAAGATGAAGACGATGCCAAGGCTGTGTTTCACATTTAGAAAAGACAAAATGCACCTCTTCACATAGGCTCTTGTTGTTGTTGTTGTTATGTGCTGTCGAGTCAGACCTGACTCATAGCGACCCCTCCTTGGGTTTCCGAGGCTATCACTACGGAAGTAGATTGCCCAACCTTCCTTCCGAGGAGTGGCTGGTGGGTTTGAACCGCCAGCCTTCTGGTTAGCAGTCCAAGTGCCTTAGGTACTACGCTACCAGAGCTTCTCACATAGGCTCTAATTCTCTTAAAAAGAAACAGAGGCTGTCAATTTTGCTTTTCATAGTCAATACAGTCAAGGCAAAGAGGACTGAATCCAATCCCATAATACAATCAGGTGATGCCAGATTCCTTGCATTTATCAGACATGACTTACCTGTTGAAGTCATATTGCACATTCTGGGTCAAGTCTATGTTGAGGAGAAAGAAATCATGTACGTGGCACCTAGAAAAAGGAGCCTTTAGGCTCTGAGAATTCAGCTTGCTGCTCCATTTCTGTATGCCCAGTATTGCGTAGTGGGTGATTTTTGGTGTGGCTTCAATATGCTGCAAGACACTCTTCAAGGACACATTCTTACTGGAAACTCCTGCTTCCACGGACTGGCTGAGAAATACAAAGTTAGTTTATATAAGCTCTCAATATTACTGAAGAGAAAGTTGTTTATGAAGGGCCAACACTACTGCTTTCAGTGTATAGTCCTAATATCTATAAAAGATGTAAGTAGCTGATTTCTTTGTACTAAGTTTTCACTGCTGCCTGTCACTGCAAACTTAAGGAAGGTACCTTTTGGGGCTGCGGCTTATCAAATTAAGACAGAGCAAGAAAACGTAGCCCATGTTTCAAAATGAATAATGAACATGGAGTTACCAAGGAGAGGCAGCCAGAGGACAGAAGCATAGAAGTATACATCCTGGTTCTAGAAATTATGGTGTAAGAGTATTTTAAACCTCACTGGTTTCAAATCCACAGTGGAAATGAGGACACAAAATCACACTAGGGACCTAGAGATCATCTGGCACAGTGTTTCAATGGGGCCATTCTTTTTAATTTTTATTGTGATTTGAGTGAAAGTTTACAGAGCAAATTCATCTTCCATACAGCAGCTCACATACTTTGTCTCATGATATTGACTGCAATTTCCCACAATGTGCAACAGCTCCCAATGGGGCCATTACTACGTAGGACTGTACCATGTTTAGCATACCTTGGTCCTCAGGAACTCCCCAAACCCTAGCACTGTGACATCCCCATATGTATCCTAGGAGAGCAACACTGCCCCAGGACGAGAGCCACTGAGTCTGGCCCAACTAAAATTTTACAGGTGATGGAACTGAAAAAGAGATGTGAACTGACTTTCCCTTTTCATTCAGATAAGCAGCAGGGCAAGGAGCTGGGACCCAGGTCTCTTGATTCAGATGCCAGTGCTCTTTCCAAATAAGGTAGTATGTCTCTCAGCAAACATTTTTATAGCTAACCAAAGCCCTAATGCAGAAATGGTCCAGGGAATTATAAAGGCATGTTGTTGTTGTTGTTATGTGCCGTCGAGTCAAACCCGACTCATAGCGACCCCTCCTTGGGTTTCCGAGGCAGTATCACTACGGAAGTAGGATTGCCCAACCTTCCTTCCGAGGAGTGGCTGGTGGGTTTGAACCGCCAGCCGTCTGGTTAGCAGGCAAGTGTCTTAGCCACTATGCTACCAGAGCTCCTAAAGGCATACTGTCTAAATAATTCCTAAGGCACCAGAAAATCACACTAGTGAGGGTGGTCCCATGGAAGACCGTTGCCCTCTTGAATGCTGTACCTATCAAGTCACTTTCTTGTGTAAGTGTAGCCAAGAGAATCTATAGCATTGGGTCACATTCCCCTAGAACTGCACTGGAAATAACCACTACCTTGTGTGTTCCTGAACATTATGAATATTCCATAGAACACAGGAGTCATCCATCACGACGATGAAAGGCCAGACACACTGGCGTTTAACTCCCAGCTCCTCAAGGCGGTTCCGCTCCAGTTCTAGGTTGTGATAGGACAGTTCCTTAATGAGGAACCTGGCAGCACCTGGAAGGCAACATAACCATGGCTGCACATCCAGCCACTCAAGCTTGGCCCACGCCACCCCAACAGCTCACATTCCTCTATAGGCAAGCTATTCACATGGAGGTCACACTGGCAGGAGTAATCAACCTAATGTTCAGAGCAGTGGCTCTCAAAATTCAGTGTACATAAAGATCACTGTAGAAGTCTGTTTAAAAGTGGATTCCTGGAGCCAATCACCAGAGATTCAACTGAGTAGGTCTGGTGAGAGGCCAGAAACCAGACACGTCTTTGATGATGCAGAGGACTCAAGAACTACACTTGCAGGAGTACTGCAAGAATCCAGTTTCCCCCATAAGACAAAGGATCACAGAGAGGAAAAGCACATCACTGGTTTGTTGCTCAAAGCCATGACAGGAAGTTCTCTCAGTCCTTGAGGCAGCCACTTGCCATGTCCTGAAATCATGAGTAGACAAGGCTGAGATGAGTGAGTATGCCACCTCCATGGATGCTTCCCCCCTGCATTAGACTTTGGGAAGTTGCTATCAGTGTTTTCTCTGAAGAAGATACAGAAACTGGATTCCTTTACCTAGATCTGCTTTTTGCAAGAAGCAGTATGGTATAACAAAACCACAGGCTGGAACCAGGCTGCCTGAGGAAGTAACTAACATCCCTGTGCTTTGGCTTCCACATCTCACAGAACATAATAAAATCACCTGTCTCAGACTGGTGGTATAAAGTGCTCAGAACAGTGACTAGCACACAGTTAAGTACTGAGTAAATGTTAGCAAATATTAAGATGACTGTCATCAGGAATTAGCCAAATTTTATAAACGAGTCACCTCAAAATGAAACAAAATGGAGATGATAATGAAGTGACTAGAAAAAGCTACTGAGTCTAGAGAAAAACCAGGAAAAAACTCCCAGTAAATCAAAGGTAACACAGGGACTCAGGAGCATGTGTTACAGTTTGCCTTTGTTTCATTTGTTCCTGGCTTTACTCTTCCCAAGTTATTGCAACAATGGCAAAACTAGAACTAGACCAATTTGGTCAGATCTAGGCTGAGGAAACTTTCTCTTAAAGTCATAAAGGCACAGAAGGACTCCTGATGGCACAGTGGTTAAAGCACTCAGCTGCTAACCAAAAGGTTAGCAGTTCAAACCCTACAGCTGCTCTGCAGGAGAAAGATGTGGCTATCTGCTTCTGTAAAGATTACAGCCTTGGAAACCCAATGGGACAGTTCTACTCTGTTCAGTCGGGCCACTATGAGTTGGAATCAATTTGATGGCAATGACTTTGGGATTTTTTTTTGGTTCTAAGGCACAGTAGAGGGTAATTTGAGGGTCATATTCATATGGAAAGGCGCTCTAGTGACACAGTGGTTAAAACATTCGGCTGCTAACCAAAAGGTTGGTGGTTTGAAGATGGGGCAGTCAGCTTCCGTAAAGATTTACAGCCTTGGGAGCTTTATAGGGGCAGTTCTGCTGTGTCCCAAAGGGTCACTATGAGTTGGAATCCACTCAATGGTATTTTTTTTTTTAAGTTTGTTTATTCATATGGAAAAGAGTCCCTGGGTGGTGCAAACAGTTGATGTACTCAGCTGCTAATCAAAAAGGTTGAAATCCTCCCCCCTTCATCCCAAAAGGTGCCTCAGACAAAAGGTCTGGCGATGTACTTCTAAAACATCAGCTGTTGACCACCCTACTCTGACACACACTTGTTGTTTTTGTTGTTGTTATGTGCCGTCGAGTCGGCCCCAACTCATAGCGACCCCTCCTTGGGTTTCCGAGGCAGTATCACTACGGAAGTAGGATTGCCCAACCTTCCTTCCGAGGAGTGGCTGGTGGGTTTGAACCGCCAGCCTTCTGACACACTAGGCTACCTCAAGTCAGAGGTGGCTCAATGGCAACTGGTCAATCCACAAAAAACCAAACTCACTGCCGTCGAGTCGGACCTGACTCACAGTGACCCCTCCTTGGGTTTCTGAGGCAGGATTACTACGAGAGTAGATTGTTCCACCTTCCTTCTGAGGACTGGCTGGTGGGTTTGAACCACCAGCCTTCTAGTTAGCAAGCAAATGCCTTAGGCACTATGCCACCAGAGCTCCCAAACAGAAAAAGTTTTAGTTTGGGGATAGGTTGTTTGATAGGTGGTTTGAGGGGTGGGATAAAGGACTAGAAATATACCAAAGTCTTAATTCACTTATAAAGTGAATAGCCCCATGTTAAGGCTATTCAAAGTTTAAGGACAGGAAAAGGAGTGGAAAGGTCAATAAGATAGGAAGAAACAAAGGAAGAGAAAGAGATGAGCAGATAGGCTGAGGGAGAGACCAAAGGAAAGTGGGGAAGAAGCAAACGTGGAGAGGAGAGTATGGATTCAGGAATCTGCTCAGGCTGCATCTGCTCTTCAGCTCTAGGCTGGATGTTATTCCCTCTCAAGTGCAAATTAGCAGCTTTTGATCTTCAACACCTCAGATCTCCAACTGAGTTAGAAACCCACTGATGGGAAAAATTATTTAGAACTTCCATCCAAAAAGTGACCAGAACAGTAATGTTCTGAAATTCTGCCCTGAATAATTCTAGACATCTCCACTGCCTCCCCACAGCTCTGTCATATATTCAGCAACCATTTGCCCCATTTGAGAAATCAGACCAGTGCCATGAAACCCCATGGGGAAAGCAGGAAAGACTTCCCACAGGCACATTTAACATGACTGATAAAGGCAGTAATGATGCTTCCAATTTCCTGGTAGTACAGCAGCCCCTGGAACTGACCTTTAAGATTAGTCTCCATGGGACTGAACTCTGACTGCTCTCCTCCCTCAGACCAGCTTCTCCTTGTCACATTCCTGCTACCAGAGTGGCACTAACATTTGCAGCCTGCACAGGGTGCTCAAATGATCTACCAGTACCTTTAGCTAATGGTCCTCAGAAATTAAAAAACTGAAAAATGGCAGATGAGATGAAAAATAAAACTCAAATTCAACGAGGAGTCAAAAGACCTTGGCCAAGATGGCAGGACAATTTTCAGAGGCAGGGAGACCTTTGAAAGTTTTGTGCTAGGGGAATGGTGCTCAGTTTATCTTCTTAGCCCTTCTCCCCACCCCTGGGGGCCCCCTTACCCACGCCTGCATTATTGAACATGCCAGGAAGCACCAGCATGATGTGATTGGGCCAGTACTTGCGGTACAGTGGCATCTCATATTCTTTGACCACCAGAAGGTGAAGGTGGCTGGTGCCCTCCATGGCGTGGAATAGGTTTAGGAGTCCATGTTCATGGCGACCACTGGAAGGAGTGAAAATAGGGCTCTTGACTGCATTCAAATTCTGCTGAAAGGAAAACAAACAGAAAACAAAACCAGAGACTAAAAGGGGAAATTAAAACCCTTCAATAGAAGATACTGGAGAAACCTGCTTTATGTTTTAGGGCCTGATGCCTGTCAGTCCTGTATCTGGACACCATCACCCACCTTGTCTGAAACCAGCGGCAGCCGCATGCTCTCCAGATGTTTGCCCTGCTTGCTGAAGACAAAATGACTCTCTTTGGATTTGGGAATGATGAAGTAGAGCTGAACCTCTTCTCCCAGCATAGAGGAAGAGAATGTGAACGCATGAAGGGTTGAGTCAGACATCTATATTTGCAAAGAAGAAAGGAAGGGAGTATAAGCTCATGGTTTCACAAACTTCCAGGCCACTCCTTGAGGTTATAAGGAGGCAAACCAACATGAACTTAGAAATGCCATGAGACCTTACAGCTATGAGAGCAACATCCAGAGGGTTGGGAAGGCAAATGCTTCATCTTTTAGTAGCTGCCACTGACAAGTAAGCCAACCATCCTGCCTTACGGAACCTCCCTGTGGGGAGAGAAGTACTTCTTGTACTTGGCATTCCTGATGTTCATAGAATCACAACTGTTTGGGCTTATGCAGAGGTCAAATATACATATGGGATGTCCTGCTGAATAAACATTCCCAAAGGTCACCAACTGTACAGGTCAAACACTTTCACTGTATGTGAATCAGATCAAATGAGTTGAATATCTTTCTAAATAAAATATTAGGAGTGACATTAAAATGCCTGCGTGGAAGCAGAAAAGGTTTGAACAGTCATTTAGCCCAGAACTCTGACTTCAAGGAAAGACCATTTGACTCATCTAAGCCAAATATGGGAGCTCTGGTAGCATAGTGGCTAAGACACTTGCCTGCTAACCAGACGGCTGGTGGTTCAAACCCACCAGCCACTCCTCGGAAGGAAGGACACGCTCAGCATTTCTCAAGCTGAAAGAATTGAAGAAAAAATT